TGATCTACCTACTTACCCCATTTTGATCCGGAGAACCTCAGCCGGAGAGCGTTAGGGTTTAGGGTTGGGGTTTGGGGTTTAGGGTTTAGGGTTTAGGGCTTAGGGCTTAGGCTGGAGCACTAAATCCTGAGCTCGTATTAGTTCTAGTCCCCCTTAAGTTGATAGAATACGGGGTATGTGGGGATCTTATTATGATATACCCGACGCCATATGCTATCTACTCAAGGGGGATTCTTGTTCGGGTTCAGGTTGTACCTGCAAAAACTGGATCAAGGGAGCCTCTATGGTGGGTAGTTATGAAGTAGGTACCCTGAAGGGAGATGTACATAAACCTCATGCACTGTGTTACCCTGATATGGAGTATAGTCTGAACTCCTTAAAAGGAATTTTATAGGGGACTATATAGGGGACTACTACATGGGGGATATTAAGCAGGATGCTAGGAGTTTACATAGCTCATATGGGGGCACCCACCTGCTGGGTTGGTGGTCCCTTGACTGGACTTCCCAAAGTGCGGCACTTCCACAAGCCCTGAAGGAAATTTGAGAGCCATTATATACGTGGCTAGAAGCTTTTAGCCTCACTTCGGACTATCCATGGTGTTGGGCAGTCCTCAGACCTTTCGAGAACCCTGTTACCATCCGTATACTAAACCTAAAGCCCCAACCCCAAACCCCAAACTCCCAACCCTGAACCCCTAAATCCTGGGACCCTACATCAGGCTACGCCCAGCCTTATGGACCTCTAAAGTACAAGAAGCCCCTCACAGGTCAGCCAACTGCAACAAGTTCTCGCAGAGTCCCAGGCTTGAGTTTGTCAACCCTACACTGTGGTTTCCACAAATAGCGGGACCCCAACATAGACTTCAAAATCCTATGGTCCGATTTATCCATACCCCCAAAAAGGTACTCCTAATTTCGGGAGACCCTAAGCCCTAAACCTTATATAACTTATATAGCCCTACATACCCGATACACCCCTACATATCCCCTATAAATCCTTTTTACTGCTACCCCTACGTTTGGGAACCCTCCTAATTCTGGTTCAGGGTTTAGTCAGAGTTTGTCAGTCTGGGAGCCTTAGGGTTGATAGGCTTCCTGGGTTTAAGGGTCTTGTGGGCGTTTTAGGGTTTAGGGATTTTAGGTTTTGGGGTCTTTAAGGGTGTTTGGGGTTCATTTTGGGAGGGCTTGGGGTTTAGGAGCGGAAAGGGTTTAGGGGGATCGGCTTGGAGATTTTTGGAGGGTGCGGGGGCTGTATGAGAGCTATGTTCTGGGAGCTGCTTTTAGGGCACCTCCTTGGGTCGGCTTTCAAGCTATTAAGGTTCCAGGCCTGACACCCTAAGCCCCAAACCCTACACCCTTAACTGGGCTGCTGTTAAGGAACTTAATTTAAGTGACTATATTGGGGAAACCCTACTATTTACTAATATACCCATTCTGGTATTTTATTTGAGTTCCTTAATCCCTATATTCCCCCCAGTTTCCATTTCATTTTCCATTTTCTTTTCCATTTGATTCTCCATTATAGGGGGATAATCCCTTAATTTAAGTCCCTTAACAGCAACCCAGTTAAAGCTTGCATGTTGCAGTCAATTGGAGCCAAAGGCCCTAACCTCTCCACACCCTAAGCCTGAAACTCCTAAGCCCCTAAACCCCAAATCCCAAACCCTTAAACCAAAACCCTAAACCCTAAACTTCTAAACCCTAAGCCCTCAAGCCCTAAAACTTCACAGATTTCTTTAGCTTTTTGTATCTGCAAAAGAGGCTGAAGTCCGCAAGCTGAGCGAGCGCGTGGTTCCAGAACCAGGCTTTCGCGAGATGCTTACTGGATTCTGAGGGCGTAGGGTTTGGGATTTAGGGTTTAGTGTTTAGGACTTATGATTCAGGGTTTAGGATTTAGTTTTAGGGCTGAGGATTCAGGGTTTAGGATTTATACACTCCGCCTTCAGCACAAACACAGATTGTGTGGTTGGTGTTTTTTTGTTTGGGCTCAGGGTTTTTGGTCGGGTCCTGGGTTGGCATTTGCCTTGGTTTTTTTGTACTTGAAAGATGGTGCTCCAATGGGGTTCTGGTGGAAGGGCGTCGGTCAAGTTGGGTGCTCGGGAAAGTGACAGGGAGCCTGAAAACCTTCCCATTTCAGTCTAATGTCCCTACAAAATGGCCTGGCGTGTTAGCTCCTGAACCTTAAATCCTGAACCCCAAACCCCAAACTCTCAACCCTAAACCCTTATAGTCCCCCTTAAGTAGATAGAATATGGCTTTGGGTATATTATAGTAAGATCCCCATATACCCCATATTCTATCTACTTAAGGGGGACTATAACCCAGGGCTGGGTTGCAGCCTGTAAGTTGGAGCTTCGTGTGCAACCAGTACGCGATGTGCAGCAGGCTAAGCAATAGCGAAGGCAGGTTTCCGGTATTATCAGAGCCAGGTTCTCCTTTGAGCTGTGAATTCCGGGGTCCGTGTTCCCCGGTAGTCTCAGACAGGATTTCTTGATGTTTGGTCTTTGTTTGCCGATGTTTGGAGGCCTGGTAGGATCCAGAGGTTGAGGTTGAGGGAGGGGGAGGAGCTTTGAAGGTTCTAGCCATCTTTGGTTCAGGCCAACGACAATTATATTCTTTGTGAAATTCAAATGTCGTTCAATAATTTGACTCGGACGAAAGTAGTAGCAAGGGCAAGACCTGTTAACATTTTTTGATACTCCCCGAAGCCCAAGAGCGTTTAGAAGTTCGGAGGATGTAGTAAGTATTCTTACAACCTTAAACCCTAAACCCTAAACTCTAAACCCTAAACCCTAAACCCTAAACCGTGGTATAGGCCACATGTTATTCACAATTATCCCCACTATCAACCAACTTCTTAGTCCCCCGGACCCTCAACCCTAAATTCTAGATAAAATTAGTCCCCTCGACCCTAAACACTAGATAAAATATGGAATAGTTTCCCCTTTCTTTTACCATTTTTACTACGTCCCGCTAATCCTCCAAGCCCTAAACCCTGAACCCTACACCCTAAACAGTATACATATACATATATACATTGTAGTTTCATTTTTCTTTGCCATTAGTGCGAAGTAGCCCTGATCCTCCAAGCCCTAAACCCTAAAGCCTGAACCCTAAGCCCTACACCGTAAACCCTAAATCTTAAATCGTAAATCCCTTATACTCCAAAAGAAGCAGGCGACGTCGCTCCGCTGCCAGCCCTCCAGCGGCGGTTGCGGAAGCTGGAGGATGCGGACCAGACCCTGGCCAGGCCAGGTAGGTTGTGAGGGTTTAGGGATCGGGGTGATTGGGGTTTAGGATCTAGGGTTTAGGGTCTAGGGTGCAGGGTCTAGGGTTTAGGTAAGTTGTGAGGGTTTAGGGGTTGGGTTCTAGAGTTTAGGGTTTATGTAGGTAGGTTTTCAGGGTTTGGGGTTTAGGGTCCAGGGATTGGGGTTTAGGGTTTAGGGTTGAGGTAGGTTTTGAGGGTTTTGGGTTTAAGGTTTAGGTAGGTTTTGAGGGTTTAGGGATTCGGGATTTAGGGTTAAGGTTTATAGCCCCCCTCAAACAGACAGAACATGGGCCTGCACAGTATCAGAATAAGATCCCCAACTTATACCCCATGTTCCATCTTCTTAAGGGTCGCTGTAAGTAAGTGTAGGCTAGTTCTTCAGAATTCGGGGTCCTCCAATACGCACATACACCACAAGGATGTTGCCCTTAGTACTTAAAAACATGATCTGTAAATGGGGTTGGAGTTCCTTACACTATCCCAAGATAGCATGGAAGCCCAAAAGCCCAAGAAAGCCCAAGAAAAACCAAAGAAAGCCTCAGACCTTAAACCCTAAACCCTATATGTACACATATAATCCCTATATTATCCTATATGAATCATTATCCTATATATCCTATATTATTATATTACCTATATTATCCTATATAAAGCCCTTTGCATATCAGCTGCGGAGAAGCGTAAAGGTCCATTCTGGTTGTGTTGGTCCCTCACAAGCGGATTCCATCTTTTAGGTACCAACCTGGAACCCCCAAACCCTAGGGTTTAGGGTTTAGGGTTTAGGGTTTAGGAACCCTAAAGTGCTTGAAACTACCACTTGGGATCCCTGGATGCTTCTGACCCTTGCAGGGATGTGCTGGTGCACTTGCAAGACAGGGAGCAACTTGCTTGCAAAGATTGGGGCCATGAGGGGATGGGGTATTCAGAGTTTGGAATTTATTTGCTGGTTCTTAGTAGGGAACACAGAATGTAATACCTGTATAGTCTCTGTACAATATGTTCCGAATCCTAAGCCCTAAAGCCTAAACCCTAAGCCCCGAAACCCCTAAACCCTAAACCCTACCCAGAACCTGTAAGTTCAGGGTGTCGGTGCGGAGTCCCTTCTTCGAGCTTCCTGGTGCAAGGAAAAGGAATTTGGTATTTTTGGATCTATATTGGTATCCCCCGATTCTTCGGAACTTCCATGTAGGATGTGGGGTTCGCTGTAGAAGCCTAAATGCTTAGCCATATCATGGTCCTAGATTCCTTGTAAAATAGTGGTACAGAGGACCTCAAATAGACGACAAAAGTATGTAGACAATTAGGTTGGTCTTTGCAGTGTCTTTGGCAGTTGACGCCCTAAACCTTAAATCCGCAACTCTGGCTTCCGTTTCAGGATGGGGAAGGGGGTTGAGCATGTTTGCATTCTTCTTGCCGAACTGCAATCTAAGCCGACACAATACTCTGAACTTCCTACATGCCGATGAATCCTACACACTAAACTCTAAACCCTTAAACCTAAACCCCTAAGCCCTAAACCCTTAGCAAGCCAGCATCTTTAGAAGCCATCAAGAGTTCTTTAGCCCCTTGGTTCCCTTTGAGTCTACTAGTCTTACTGGTGCTTGAGGCGAAGCGGAGGAGTGAATATCGAGACTGCTATAGGTTTAGGGTTTGGGGTTTAGGGTTTGGGGGGATTATATGAGCTATAGTCTGAACTCCTGAAAGGGGGGCTTTGCAGCGGATTAGATAGGGCAGTACTATATAAAATACATTAAGTTGGATACTGGGAGTTTAGACAATAGCTCCTGAGGGGATTCGCTTCCCCACTCCTCCTAATTGGACATATGCAGGGAATTAGGGTGGTTTCCATAAATGGGGGCACCCAGCATAGACCTCCAAATCGTATTGTGCTAACTATGGGGATCCCACAAAAGGTACACTTAAGCTTAGGAAGCCCTAAACCCAATCCCGCAAACCACTACACAACCTCCGTGTCCGTTTCATCTTTCATTTTTTTTCGCCATTTGATTCTCCATTATTTGGGGTAACATCCTTAAACCCTAGACCTTAAATACCACCTAAACTGAAAAAATCTCAGGCACAAAATCGAGACCCTGGCCTCCACAGTGGCGCTTCTTCGCCAGACGGTGGACGACCTCCAGCCCGAAAAGGCGCAGGATTTGGGGTTTAGGGTCTCGGGTTTAAGGGTTCAGGGGAGAGGGTTTAGAGTTAAAAGGTTTGGGGTTTAAGGTTGAGAGTGAAAGGGTTTAAGGTTTAGGGTTTAGGGTTTAAGGTTTCGGGTTTAGGGTTTAAGGTTTCGGGTGAAAGGGTTTAAGGTTAAGGGTTATGTATTGGGGTATACATTGGGGTTATATATAGGAAATCATGGTGAAGAACATAGAAATTATTATAGTATATTAGGGTATACATTGGGCTTCTGATTCCTCAGGGCCTGGATTTAGGGGTTTAGGGTTGAGAGCTGAGGGTGTAGGGTTTGTGGCACGGGGATGATGAGGGGAACGCGCTCGGGGGAGACCATTGGGACGCAGTCCCATCACGAAGATAAACCTTAAACCCCTAAAACCTAAACCCTAAACCACTAGGGGGACAAATTCCCATCACAAAGCACCAGGGTCTTTCTTGATTTGCCCGCTCCTGATTGAAGGCTCGAGGTGAGGTTTGGGTTTCTGCGGAGCGACTGCAGTTTAGCTTGGATACTGCCCCCACTCAGTAAGGGTTTGATAATAAGTATAATATATAGCCCTTAATAGGACCCCTAATATAGACTGTTACTGGGTGGGGGCAGTACCCAAAGTTTAGGATTTAGGATTTAAATATAACCCCAATATAACCCTAATATAACCCCAATATACCCCTAATTTGTAGGGTGGAGGGCGTGCCTTGACAGCACCAGCTTCAAGTTCTGAAGGGTTTGAGGCTCGAAAGGGCTATGTACCTAAACCCTAAACTAACATGGAAACCCATATAGTACCCTTTTAGAAGGACTGTAGTCTTTATAGGGCCCTTTTTGGGTTTCCATGTTAGTTTCCGGGTATGTACCTAAACCCTAAACTCTAAACCCCAATGATAAGGAGGCATCCAGAAGACTCGGAAGCTGTATGCTCTTGTGTAGCAGAGGCAAGCGTGAGAATGAATGCGCTAGCAGAAGCTGTACCGTTGTAGCTGGAGTAATAAGACGACCAGGCAAAGCAATAAAACCAGCAATGAGATTTGCAATGGGAAGCGCGGCAAACTTCAAGCAACAATGCCTGAAACCCTGAACCCAAAGCCCCAATTATTCCAGAGGCCAGAATAACTAGGAATGCTGTCCCTTCATCATCTTTACCTAGCAAAAGTATAATATACTACGAAAAAACTTTGCTCCATGTAGTTAGGCTTCTACATCCTGTCCTTCCAAACTCCCTCGACCCTAAACCCCTAAACCCTAAGCCCCCATTATCATCACGGTATCCATCTCATCATCCATTGATTCTCCACCATTCTACCAGGCTCCACACGCCAAAACCTTAGCCCCTCACCGTGAACCGTGAACCCTAATCCAAAATTGGACCTTAATATTGATATTCTTTTCATCACGCATCGTTATTAGTATTCTGATTATTGTTATTAATTCTTCTTACTGCTATTATCAGTCGTCATTATGACTAAGTCTCCTCAGCAAAGCCCTGCAAATCACCTACAATCTAAACTCCTTAAAGGGGTTATATAGGGGAGTTTAGATTTTGTACCTAACTTCTGCAGGACAGCCCGCTTGCCAAGGAAGGCAGAGACAACACAGCAAAGTGACCTGTGCTTGTGATGTGAACGCCTGAATCCTGACAGTCTACCCTCCCCGAACCTCACATGGAACCCCCCAAAATGCATAGACCACCGTCGGTTTAAAGGATTCCATGCTAGTTTGGGGAGGGGGGGTGTTTGTGGTGCCTCATCCCCGACGATTTTTCCAAGCAAAGCTGCGTTTGCGATTGATTGCTGACTGAGGGTACATGGTGAGGGTCTAGGGTTTGGGGCTAAAGGGCTGATTCAAGGTAACTGGTTATAGTCCCCCCTAAGTAAATAGAATATGGCTTTGAGTATATTATAAGGAGATCCCCATATATCCCATATTCTATCTACTTAAGGGGGACTATAGATGCTGGGAGTAGCTGTGAGGTTTAAGGAGTAGGGCTTAGGCTTCGGAAATCTGATTCGGCCATTGGCCATTCAGGCAGTACATTTAATTCGCTGTAGTTTGGGCATGGGACTTCTAAGCACACCTTTTTGCATTTCAGAGTTTCAAATGAAGTTGCTTGCGAGTTGCATTCCACTCCTGTCTATACTACCCTCCCCAAGATCTTCAAGGTTCCCAAGTAAGTAGGCTTGTATAGGGTGAAGCGAATCAAGGAAACTCTCAGGAGGGTAGTATGGAGGGGTGTGGTTAGGTAACCCAGAGGTCACAGCGTACGTGGGCTCCGCATTTGGCAGTGGGAAAGGAGGCTGCTGAAGATTCAGGACCCAAGTTTTCCTTTCTTTCTGCAGCGGTCTCAGAACCTGATAAAAGCTATAGTCTAAACTTCTTAAAGGGTTTCATATGCGGGATTATATAGGGGAATGTTTTGGGGATTATTTCAGGGGGATAACGGAAGTTTAGCCTGTAGCTCATAAGAGCCGCTATCAATATTAGGCTCATTAGGGGGCCCGTAACAGTGAAGATAAGGGTCCCTCTTTTAGTCGAGTATAGTCCCTAATGTATGCCCTAAGTGGCAACGCATGTCCATAAAAGTGTCTGGGCAATATTGACTGTAGCTCATAAGTATCTACACCGCCCACTCGAAGATATAGCCCCGGAAGAGGGCCAGGGGCCATACTGGGTTTCCAGGTACGTTTAGTCACTATAGGGTTATATAGGGATATATAGTGATATATATATATATAGGGTTATGTAGGGTTATATAATAAATGTTTAGTGGAGGGTAGAGTGCCTCTAGCAAGTTTCTTTCACATTGTCGATTGCCATGGGGTCGGCTGTCGACCTCAGGCATGATAGATCCTGCACATCAGCTTTATACGGTCAAAGGCTGCAAGCTTACGCTCGTGGCTCCGCAGCTCAGCACCTCTATTAGTCTATGCATAAGCTGTAGGTTGGAATTTCCTGAGTTTCTAGAGAAGTCTTCACTTAGACTATTCAAGATGAATGCTCATTGCAGTCGCGTGTAGTGACTAGTGGTATGAGTTTGCCAGTTCGGAGTAGCTGAATTACTGAAGTACAGGGGAACCGAAATTCCACATTGCAAGAAAGAACTGATCATGCTTTGTTGTTTGTTTGCCCTCCTAAACATCAGCGCACACATATTGTTGGCCAAGTTTCATCCGCAGCCCGAATGTTTCACAGGGACTCTCAGCCGTCGTCTGCGGTGAGGAACATCAGATGGTAAATGCGCTGACCTCTCTATAGATCCGAATCCTAAACCCTACATCCTAAACCCTCAACCCTAAACTGTAAACCCTAATGCCCAAACCACTCCAGGCGTAGAAGTCCGTGAGGTTGAAAAATCACAAGCCGACTTAGGGGTTAAGGGTTTAGGGTTTAGGGCTTGCACTCCCCCAAATTAACATGGAAATCCATGTAGCCTCCCTTTAAAGGGACTGTAGTCTTTATAGGGCCCTTTTTGGGTTTCCATGTTAGTTTCCGGGAGGGTAGTAAAGCTGCATCATTTTGGGAGAGATCTTTTCGGGTAGTTGTCAGATCAAGGTGGGGTCCCCTCAGACCTGCAACGGCTCATGTGCAGGTATGTAACAGATTTTTGGATGTGGTTTGGGGTGTAGGATTTAGGGGTTTAGGGTTTGGGGTTGAAGTTTAGGGTGTAAGGTCATTGAGGTTTTCCAGTAAACTTTTGCAGCTGGGGTTCAATGGCTGCAGGATAGAGTCCGGTCAATTTGTTGACCTAACCCTCCCTCGGAGATGTCAAAGTTGGTTACGGCTCCAATGGCTGGGCATGTCATCTACCATCAGGATATAAGCTAGTCATACCCGGTTTCGCAACAGTTACTGCAATAGGTACATAGCCCCTTAGTAAGGCCCCTTTGAGGACAGTTACTTTAGGTAAGAGCGACCCAAGATCTAAACCCTAACCCCCCCCATACTGGAGTCAGAGCCCTAAACTCTAAACCCTAAACCACTAAACGGTAAACCCTAAACCCTAAACCGAGCAAATGTCCTGTATCGGCAGTACGAGAAAGGCTGGGAGTCTCCTCCAGCTACTTGCTGGTGCTTCAGGGGAGCGGGGGAGCGGATCCCCAGAATTCATGAACCCCAATAGTATGTTATAATTAGTATATTATAGTGAAATGTAGTATATAGTATATCATAGTATATTGTATATACTATAGTATACTATAGTGTATTGTAGTATATTGTAATATATTACAGTAGATTATCGTATCCCAAAGTACTCCTATATTCCATCTCCCACTCCCCCCAAGCACCAGCAAGAGAAGCGCTGTTTCACAGCATCTCGTGAATCTCGTGCCCGCAAAGTTGGGAAGAACCCAGTCGGGCGCGCGAAGAGTGAGATGTGCAAAGCAAAGTCTGCTGTTTAGGGGCCTGGGATGTTAGGGTTCAGGATTCAGGTTTTGGGATTTAGGGCGCAAGGTATAGTTCTTAGAGTTAGGGTTAAGGGTGAGGCTTGAGCATTGTGAGGTCCGCTTGGAGTCAGGAATTGTGCTTTGTTGGGTTTGTTTCGGAGCTATTCTAGGAGCCTGAATGCTTGCCCCATGCTTTTCCCAAACAACCCTTATGTAAATAGTGTATGATATACCCCACAGCATTTTTTCTCAAGCAGATAGGCCCCTAAATCATGTAGGAGGGGTTACTTCTTGCCTAAGACTGCTTGATCCTTGGCCTTCTTTGTTTAGACCCGAAAACCAATTCCTAAATGCTAGAACTTTGCCCGCAACCCTAAGCCCTGACCCCTAAACCCTACCTTAAACCCTAAGCCCTAACCCCTAAACCCCACCTCAAACCTCAAGCGGGAGCCTGACAACCCCCCGTGGCTCTGGCGCACCACAATATGTCGGACTCCCAGAGTTCTGGCAGTTAGGATTAGGGGGTTAGGGTTTAGGGTTTAGGGGTTTTGTTGTGCTTTACGCAAGCAGCGTGGGTTTGGTTGGT